AATGAAGAAACTGTCTCATGCTCACATGAAGGAAGAATTGTGTTTCAGCATTGGAAGAATTGTTTCATTAATTTCCCTGTTGTCTGGTATAATGAAGCTCTTACCTCACACCATTCAATGGAGTTTCTTCATAGTTCCTCTGACTAAACTGACACTAAACTGATCTTGAATGCCATCAGTGCCACAGAAGGTACTGGTAAATTCTGGATTTTTGTACAAGATGCATGTTTTAGTGCTCCAAGATTTCTGCAAGATTGTTTTGATGGCTGCTGGTAGAGAACAGAAGTGCTATATTTCTCTCAGAAATGTGATCCTATCCACTAGCCCATTAAAATATGCCAGACTGCAAGGTTCCATGCCCTTTCAGGAAGTGACAGTATTGAAAAGTTGACTGAAAAGACCAAATTATCATCTTGCAAATATTTGGTTCAGTCTCCAGAGACACTCCTTGCTCAAAACAGCTGACACAGTCACTGATGAGATATTCATATGCCGAGTTTACCATTTGAAGGCCAACATTCCAGCTACATAGCTGTGCATGAGCTGTATGTTTTCCAAAAATTGAACTGAGAAAAACTGCTACCAACAAGGGCCAAGAAGGCAAATAGCAGGTAGCATAATGGCTCTAGTCTAGGATGAACAAGCACATCCAGAAATGACCTTCTCACTGGGGCAAGAATGGGTCTTGAAGAATGGATTTATCCTGCCAGTTGTGTGAAATACCACATGGTCCACAAGCAAATACTTAGTACCCAGCAAATGTTTGGCCAGAAATCTACCTTGTACAGAGATGTGTGCGCGTTCTGCAGATGAGGATCATGAAAGATCAGTTTCTCTTTTTATATAAGCAATGGATCCCTGTTAAAGTACAATTTTAAAAAAACTTGTGTATATAAATTGTTCTAGGTTCATAATGCTTAATACTGTAATGTTTGCAGGAGAAAGGGGTTTTGAAAGATACCCAACTCAACCCATTTCCAACAACATTGTATTATTAAAATTTCCACCAACCAGAGAAGCTGGGAGCCACAGCAAGTTGTGTCCCATCCCTCTTCCCTCCTGCCCCCTGCTGCAAAGTATGACACCATTGAAATTCTGATTCTGTAAATTTTAACAAACCCAATGACATCTCCCTCATCTTTCTGTCGCTAAATTGCCTGCAAAATGAGATTTTACTACATTATGATCCCACACTATAAATTAACTGAATAATCCCTGTCTTTAATGGCTCAAGTATAGTGCAAGCATCTTTATCTTCTCCCAGCTCAACCCTGATAAAGGAGCCATCTCTAGATTGGCACCATTGGTTCCAATAAGTATCAGATGTGGAGGCACTTTCTGTGGACATTTGTCCACTTGTAGTAGACTGAGTGCCAAATGTGTAACCAATTTTTAAAAATAATCTAACTGGAAGCAGCAGAACAAAACTTTACAGTACAGTGTGACACAGTATGCATTTTTAAGAAACCATGAACAGTATAAAAACTGTCTGACCCACTTTTTTCAGTAGGAATTCTATAAGCCTGCACAGCAGCTGGTAGCAGAGATTGGAAAGATGGTTATTTCAAAGGCTCTGCAAAGGGAAGCAGAGCCTTTGAAATACCACTTTTTAAACAGCCTGTGTTATAGCTGCTTTCAGTGCAAGTCTGAAATATCTTGGTTTTGAAAAAAATTTCAGTCCTTAAAGATTATATCTAAACATGTAAACATAGTGTCTGTATATTTACACACTAGAAAATTTATCCAGCATTGCTTGGATCCTTCAGGGCTCAGTGGTATGGGAGGCACAGGAATCAGAGCTGAGGCTTGAGGATGTGGGGGTGCAGGAGCCAGCGCAGGGCCCATGCTTCCTGAGAAATGGCTCCCTGGGGCTGGCCATGGTGGGAGCAGTGCTGGTCGGAGGGGCAGGAGGGATGTTTACCTCACCCTTGCCCTCTGCTGTCCCAATGAGGATAGCTGTTCCAGACCCCAGCTCTGGCCCCTTGTTATTCCCAACACCATGCTCATTACATAACTTTCTCTGCTAGCAGACTCCTTTTCCATGTTATGGAGAACAATAGCATTCTAGGCACATCCCATTATACTGTCCTGGCACAACCGAACCCTTACCCAACTTTAAGTTAGAAGAGGAATCTGCATACCATATTTGGTGGTCCTAGCTATTACCCTTTAGGAGGACTTCTTGAATAAAGATAAACTCACTCACTCAGGGTATGTCTACACAGCAGCAGCATTATTTTGGAGTAACTGACTTTATTCCAAATAACAAAGAACACATCTAGCCATTATTGTTTATAACAAAGAACACAGCAAGCCATTATTTCGAAAGAATGGCGAGCTGGAGGACTTCTTACTCCAACTCCTGTAACCCTTATTTCACAAGGAGTAAGGGAAGTCGAAGGAAGAGTGCTCTTTCTTCAACTTCCTGCCATGTAGACAGTGCCAAAAGCAAAATTAAGCTATTTCGACTTCAGCTATGCAATTCATGTAGCTGAAGTTGTATACCTTAATTCAACTTTGGCCCTGCTGTGTAGACATGCTCTCAGACAAACTCTCTCAAATATATGTAGATTAACATGTATAATATCATAAGATTCTAGTCTAGACCTTTATATTAAATCACTGCACAGTCATAACCTTCATCGGCCAAACAGATGTTTCTATTCATAATAAGCAGCTATTGATATCTGTTATATTCTGCTAATTATGCATTTGATCTCACAGGTAAATAATGGCCAAGGTGACATCAAGTTCAATATTTGTGCCTTCAGGTACAAGGAATTTTGATTAAAACAAGAGAGGTCAGCCCAGGAATTATTACATATTTCTGAAGCTTTTCAAACTCTGAAAATCTCTACATTATGAATAGCAAAAGTATTTTTTCTGTGAAATTCAGATTTTAAGGTATGGGGGCTAAGTTAGAAACCTAGAAAAAGAAATTGCCTCCAGTGACCTAATTAGGAAAGAGTCTAGCATATCTGGTTGGTAGTTCAGAGATAAATATGTTTCATTCTTGTTCCAGGCGTCAGGATATAGTCATTGGTATATATTGGCTGACTGGTTAATAATGTTGCAGTATTTACTATTACTGATCTGTGAGGAAGTAGACAACACTAGTTGAAATACTGCATCAAGTTTCAGCCCATTACAAGCCATATTCCTTGGCATTTAGTAGTACAGAGTACAGGCAGTCCCCGAGTTACGCGGATCCGACTTATGTCGGATCCGCAGTTACGAACGGGGCTTTTCTCTACCAGCAGACCAGGGAGACGGGGAGCAAAGCCTCGGAGGACGCCCGCAGCGGGACAGCCCAGGCGCTCCGCGGCTGTCCCGCTGTGGGCGTCCTCCGAGGCTTTGGTCCCCCTCTCCCCTGTCTG